TTCGATCATGCACGTTTCCAGTGCAGGTAACTCGAACTTTCCCGGAGTATTTCCGGAGGAGAGTCGTGAGACCTATTCTGCGTGCCCGGAATGAATGCACGATCACTTCCGGGACGCTATCCATCATGAGCTGTTAGAGTTACCCGGAACGGGGTGTCATTAGAATTCTGCAGGACTGCAACAAAGAGAGAGAGAGAAAAAGACAGGGAGAGAAAGAGAAAGAGAGAACATAAGAGGGAGCGCATAAAGTAGTAGCATAATGTAGCATAGGTAAAGGTCCACAGGCGAATAAACTACGTTTACCATCGGGATATCTCAGGAGGGTGTGAAACTTATTGTATGAGTAGTTGAGTAACCTATCCTATATTGTTTTGTATAGAAATGAATTATAAGTTTTTGTGGCGTTGTGGGAAAACTACAATATTCAACGACTGCCAGAGGCACTACAGGATGTTTTGATGCACTTGTCAGAAAATAAAAAGAATGATTTTTATCATTCAGTAGGAGAGTCAGCTGCAAATTTCGACCGTCATCTGGGAAGTATATCAGGACCAAACCCATGTTAAAACCATATACGTATTAATAACCAATACGGATCATAACGGGGGCCAGGATGAAGCGAAAAATATGAAACAAATGAATATCCATAAGGATTTGGTGGCATGATACGCATGCGCCATGCGCTATTATAGTAGTCATCAAAGACATGCGTTTCGGTGGACAATGACGTTTACTAGCCTTTCAATCAAAGCAGTATGTGTCTGATCGTTTCAAAAGGTCATGACATTCTGCGTATTTGATCATGCGCAGTATCTCACTTTTCCTTATGGATAGTCATTTGTCTTCAAAAATCGGCTTCATGTTTCGCTATGGAAACAGATAGAGATTATCCGTATTGATTATTAATACGTATATGGTTAAAACATTGTATTTTATCGAACGGCACATGTGCCAATCACTATCCTGAACAAAATGATCAAATATGCGCACTTTTTGTTGGGTAATTTGCACTTAATTCCGCGATTTGATAACGAGATAAGAATGATGATACCAATTAAATGGTAGATCTCAAAAACATATCTGTGCCACTACTTATTCTGAGTCAACATGGCATAGCGATTTATTTGCTGCTAATATTACGGACTTATTTCTGTAATGTGACGACGAGTTGAAACAAATAGCGAATATTTGCTCATTATCTTATTCCATTCAATTTTCATTAGCCACATCGTTGTTTGCCTCTTGCATACTGTCAGCCCCTTTTAGCCAGGATTGTAAATCATTTGTGGATCTTGCACAAATCATAATATCGGAAACTCGATATATATATAAATTGTCAATATATGGAACACATCCCTAAGTGATGACTAATCATGGATGGAAATGACATCGTTTCAATTGAATCGTTTGATCTACTCTGAGGAAATATGGGATACCTACTACCTGATATTTGGTTAAATATGTCAGGAGCATCCGTGAAACGATGGAAATGCATTGTGAAATTGTCTAATTTGTTTTCAACCTGCCCATTGTCTATCTGAATGAGAAACTATCACTGACGGTAGTTTACTGAAAAAATATGTCAACTAAGACTGAACGTCACCTCAGATGAATTTCAATTTTGATATAAATTTCAAGTTAGTTGCTGGTTTGTTTTCCGTTTGATTTTGTATTTCGTTCTGCACTTATACAATAAGTGGTAGAGGTAAGTAAATTCGTCAACATTCCTTTCTCAATGATGACGAACATTTGCTACATGGAATGATTTTCAACATATGGTAGGAGTTTCTTCTTGAGCCACAAAGCTATCAGTTCCTATACCTTTTTATTCTTAGGTTCTATGTTTCATAACAGCATACACTGAGCGGTGTTATTGGATATATTCTAAAGTCACCATTTTCTGAAATAATGAACCACGTTATTCCATATCCTCCAAGTTGAAGTTGAAATTCATGAAAACAATATATATTTTGGCTAGAATGAATAACACGATCTTGCCAGTAAAATGGGTGGTGGCCAAAGGCCCAAACTCGTTCGCTCTTGTAATTTTTGAACAAATTCGTCCAAGCATCCTCGAACAGAGGCGGCAGTTCATGACAAATAATCATAATATTTACGCAAAAATTGTGCAATCATACTATACAGGGTGTCCCTGAAAGGTCTTTACAAATTCCTACCACATATTCCTCTGACCGAAACGATTCGTAACAAGCAAACTCAACTCGTTAGAAAGTTGCTGAGCTTGGACATTCGGCTCTGAAGTTAAAATTTGAAAATTGTTTGTGCGCGATATTGGAATTCACATATCGTCGATTATCGATATCGATCAATGAAGATATATCGATTAATCGATATTTTTGAAACCATGCATATGTCGTTATCCGATATATCGATATATGTATTAATCGATATATCGACTTTTTCCAGGCTTATCTCAGAGTGATCAAATTTGTTCTATCAACCAAGGGTTGTGAAATCTTCAACCAAATGGAATGTGCATGAAAACAACTTACCTACGCAATGTATTTTCACAAAACTTCCTACCTACGCAATAAATTTTCACACCTCAACGAAGGGTGGCGCTTCGATAATCAGTTGATTCGTAGTTTTTTAAGGGATAGAAAAATACCGTGAGAATACCTAATACGAAAAGAACGAAAAATTGAAAAAAAAATAGTAAATATTATAATTTCATCTAGAGCCCTTCTTTGTTGTAAACAAGTCACGCAATCCTATCTCATATTTTTCGCGTTGCATGAAAAAAAAAAAAAAAAATTCCACGCCTATGGAATTCTATTCATCATAATACTTCTATGGGGTTTATTGCCCAATGAAGCTATGCCAGCATACCAAATTTGGCATGTGCATGAAAACTACTTACCTACGCAATAAATTTTCACAAAACTACCTACCTACGCAATACATTTTTACACCTTCACGAAGGGTGGCGCTTCGATAATCAGTTGATTCGTAGTTTTTTAAGGGATAGAAAAATACCGTGAGAATACCTAATACGAAAAGAACGAAAAATTGAAAAAAAAATTAGTAAATATTATAATTTCATATAGAGCCCTTCTTTGTTGTAAACAAGTCACGCAATCCTATCTCATATTTTTCGCGTTGCATGAAAAAAAAATTCCACGCCTATGGAATTCTATTTATCATAATCCTTCTATGAGGTTTATTGCCCAATGAAGCTATACCAGCATACCAAATTTGAGTGAAATCTCATGAGCCGTTTCAGAGTTATGAAGCAGAAACGATTTGAAAATCGTAACTTCAGAGCCGTCTAGCGGCCAAGCTAAGCCATTTGGTACTGATAGGTAGTAAGTTTTCTTGAAGACATTTGAGGAACATCCTATACCCTGATAGCACAATTATGTCCCATAAACATCCTTAGAACGTCCCGCCGGGACATTCAGGACGTCCATAGGACGTTCGAATTTGGTACCGCAGACGTCCATCGGACATCTGTTGAACGCACAAATGAATACTTCAGGACCAACTAGGGACGTCTTCGAGGGATGTCCCTGGAAGAACTATCGGGGACATTCTTGTTGGACAAGCTATCAGAAATACTGAGAGAAATTGATTAGGGTCCATGAGATATCCCAGGAACGTAAAAGTTATTGTTGAATCTCAATTCATTTGAATCTTTCAGTTCAGTTGATGATCCGTATAAGGTCTCTAATAGATTCTGAATAGGGTCCCAAAGAGGTCCCATCAAAGAAGTCAAATGGACAGGGAGTATTTAAAGCCTACGAGCAGTCGATCGTCGGCGAGGTGTAAGTTAACGTTGTCGCAAGGACAAAATATTGAACGTCCCGACTTAGACGTTCCTAGGACGTTATTTTTATAGGACATTGAAAGAAAGAAATGATAATTCGCTTGCGTGAAGGACATTTATATAGGATGTCCTAATGAATTCTGAAAAAATTCTAGGGTCGTCTCTGGAACAATGACATCCCAAGAAATCATTGTCCCTGAAAATCTTCCTTGTACTTATCACTCAAATGAACAGATGGATCATCATAGGAGTTTCTTCCAAAGGTATTATAGTTCATGAAGCCATTGGAACATCCGACGGATATCCATGAGGGACAGATAGAATTTCATACGATCCTGGAAATATTAAGGGCGTCCGTGCAGAGGTATTTGAAGAAATGAATTGTTGTTGTTCTAAAATTGTTCTAAAATTGTTCTATCCGTCATTCGGTTGCCCCCTTACGAGCAACCCTCAGAAGTCTTCGGAAGTCTTGTGCGAGCAAGGAATGACGGGGGCCTTACGTTTTAACGTGTGATCCCAAACACTTTCCATCAGAAAAAGTCTGCGTTCGTGGGACTCGAACCCACGATCGATACCTTGACGTGAATCGATATTGAAGCATCGAAGCACTGAGGTACGCTGGCCGGGACATTTCATAGTTGTTCTAGAGAGTACATAATATAGTATCTGAAGTCTTGCCATAATATGTACCACTTGGGACATCCGATGGATGTCCCTGAAGAAAGGTTTGAAATTATATTCCATCAGGGATATGCTTAGGACGTCCTTGCATGGGCATTCTACAATATGTACTACGTGTGGACGTCAGAAGGATGCTATTTTCAAGACATTTGAAATGCTGCGCAAGCTAGGACATTTCATGGACGTCCTTGCTCGGACATTTCATGAGATGTCCAGGACGGGACGTCCCAAGGACAATTATTTTGAGTCCGGGACAATCGGACTTGAATTGTACTGTATAGGGACGTCCCTAGGAAGTTGCGTGCCATTAGGGATATAAATTCTGAATTTTCGAGCCTTATTTGAATGTGTTCTAGTAGACCTTGGTTTCTAGAAAGAGTGGACGGAGCCTGACTCCGGAATACGCCTCCACATTTCAGAAGAAATGTCGTGAAAACCGTTCCATAAATGAAACATTAATGAGGGTGGCCCGCTTTCAAGAGGGTCACCAAGTACATTGTACACATTACATATCAGAAAAACATATTCTTGCCTGTGAATAGGGTGGTGGCTAAGGGCCCCAATGCGTACACAGGCACGTCCTCGCCCCCGTGAGTGGCCCACTGCCGGGGCGCAGCGGAGCCGTGCACCTGGTTCTTGTCCTCGGCGACCGTGGACGCGTTGAGCGGGGCGACGCGCGGCGAGGCGAATCCAGGCCCGTTGCCGTACAGTAGGGTCGAGTACGGCTGGCCGTCCACGTCGGATACTTTGCTGTCCGGACCTGGGGAATGAAGAGAAATGAGTGGAAAATCCTTGGAGAGGATATCATAATGAATATTCAAATATGGTCAGCAAAATTTCAACTATTTATTTATAGTCTGGCTTCGAAAAGACTAGCAGGGAGAATGTGCGTATAAGGCACAATATAATGTTGCAATAAATAGTGGTATCAATTCGAAAGAGCAGGCAGTTATATTGTCAAGTAGGAAAAATTACTATAGAATAACATCACTCATACATAACATAATTTCCGTTCATTTAGGGATCTTCAATCATTCATCAAGTTTTCCAAATTGAAACATCCAGTACAGTTAAGTTTCGTTCAGGTAAGTTGCATTCACAGACCTCAGTTACTACAAAATTGCAAAATACTTATCATGCGAAACTACCTAGTCAAGCAATACCTCCAAGCAACGGCTATACCTACTGCGGAATATTGCAAGGGAAGTATTGATTCCTAATATAAATAGTGAAGAAATTCAATAATACACATTCTCATTCATTCATCCATTTTTCTTCTGGAATCTCCATTTCCTTCCAGGAGACTGAGAACTTGCGACGAAGACAGGCCAACGCTGTCAATGAAGGTTTTGCGGAAATTACAGCTTGGGAAACCAACAATAATTGAATTTAACGCCACCAAAACTCAGGCCTGTATTTTCTCAGTATGCCTGATATAACAATGTCTGGTATCACTATTCCCAAGACCACTTCATGCTCGGTATCACCATCAGCTATATACCCTCTCCTGTGAAAATCATGTTCAATACATCGCAAGAGCTATTACACAAAAACTCGGTTCTTATTCCGTGCGGAAATATACTTTACATCTCAACAGCTTCTCATGATCTACAAAGCATAGAAACGGCCAGTTATATGATACTGTTCCCATGTATGGGATTCAGCAACCAAACATACGCTGATGCTCTCAGATTCTATCCAGAGAAGTGCCATTCGCCTGGTGGGTGTTGTTACACTCACCAACTCTCTGAACATATTAGAACACCGTAGACGACCGTTCACTTTTTTATAGATACTTCCACGGGTAATGCTCCTCATAGATTTTTGCTATGAATTCATCAATAGCGATACCAGTCAGACAAACTCGACAGGCCTTCGTCGTTAACATTGAAAAATATCGAACAACACTCTACCAAAACTCGTTCGCCTATAAAACGGCGAAACATTGGAGTTTTTGCCTGAAGGAGTATACTCATTCAAACTCAGGTTTGAAGGTACATAAGCAAGTCACCCAAAATAGCAACCACTGACCATAATTGTTTGGAATATACAAGGTTTCAAAGATCTCTCTGAATTCCATGATGTTGCGATTGATTTCCATATCTTGTGTATCTGCGAGACGTGGCAGAAGGTGAAGTTTACTAGTCCCACCCATAATTTTTTTGATTCTCAAATAATAAGTGTCCTGGCGACAAGTGACAAATCTGTTCTGTGCATCTTCATAAAGTTTGTCATCGACTATACCTGAGGAAACCCCCTGGTGAATTTTGTGTTGTATAAAGTATCAGAGACCCTCTTGCATCCTATGCTTCCTCTATATGAAACTATCTTTGAATATTGACGATATATCATCAAATTTTCCGCTCTCTGTTTCCAGTATTATTCTTGAATTGAGTTGAAATGGATTTTTCTCCCAAAATTGTTGCAGGAATTATTACATACTAATATTTTTACATTCATACTACCTGTACAGTGTACATAATTTATCGAACAATCGTTAATCGAAAATCTTTTGAAGCTTATATAATGTTCAATATTCCTGCATAGTTTCGAGGAATTCTAATCCGTGTTTTCGTTTATCAAAATATTCACGAATAGAGAAGAATCTTTACGGGATTTAACAGAGGAAAAATCTCGGGAAGAGTGATTGAATTATTGAATATAATGTAGCCCTATACCAAGGATACCGTAGTTTCGAGGAGTCATATTCCATGTATTGAAACCACAGTCCCGAAACCGACTCAGAACATTCCATTTTGAACGATATCAAATGAAATAAAATGGAGATTTTCACTCGGATGGTTATTGAAAAAACACCACGAAGAGTGTTTCTTTCTATTCCATTTCCTGTCCGAATCATAAACACGAATTTCTGGCACAGTTCCTGTCGGACAAAGGAAACGAACAGAAATATAATCATCCTAAATTGCAGTTGGAATCGAATGAAACAAAAGAAGGAGAAAACACGACTTCCTTGTTTTCGTTCTCTATTTCCCGTTCTCCACAGTTTTTCCATCGTTGGAATACTTTCGCAACTGCCGTTCGACATCTCAAGCAGGGATGTTTGATTTATCAAGACATCGTTCCGGTCGAGTCCGGGGTCTGTTTATACTGCCCCTAGGGGTCACTAGAATCTAGAGCGAACATCATATGAGGAGGACTCTATATTATGAAGACTCAATATCATTGATGATTATGCAAAATGTTGCTCCAAAAATATCCCTACACTAGCTTCTACCTGCGCCTTCACTAGCATTCATTTCGTGTAACGTGCAACTTTTGCTTCATGCCCTTATAACACAAGATATCCATTGGGTATCCATATTGTGTCAATTATATGTCAAAGGTAATAATGATCAAAATAATGATACATTCATTACCCACAAAATATATAAATAGTACAGGGTACGGAATATATCAGAATTCGAGTGAGTCAATCCAGGATGTGTTGATGAAGATGTCGAATAATTTCAGCTAGCAGAACGGATCTGATATTCAGTGTCTAATAATAGTGCGGAAGTAAACTTGAAAAATATGTTCAGATCAAAATCATATTGTGTCAACACTACCAACTTGAAATTATGAAGAAAGGTTTCAATAGAAGCAATATATCACATCAATCTGATATTGAACATCATAGTACATATACCTATAGTGTCCTTGAATATAATCCCGTTTTCAATAAGAATAACAACCAGAAACATAGATTCTATTCATCAACCAGATCTTATTACTATATCTCAATGCAAACATTTGAGACATCCTATGAAAGTTACCATATGGATGTCCGTGACAAATACCATATATGTCCATGAAGAATACCATATAGGTGTCTATGACGAATACCATATGGATGGCTGAAATGTTGGGAACGCGATATCTTATGGATGTCCATACGTTATCAAGTGTACACAAACTGGATATCCTATGGATGTGTCGAGATGTCCATAGGAAGTCCAGTGGATGAGTCATGTTTTTAGGGCGGACCTGTGACGATACATATCTGATATTACGCTCAAAATTGAAAGTAGTGAGATGGCAAAACAATAAACGGACAACCAACCTCAAAAATTTAATTTTGGCTGTATTGGTCGCGTGTACATGTGTCAGATGACAGTAAGATGACTGCAATGAACTCACAATATGAGGGACCCTGGATGTTACTCACTTTTATTATTAGTTCACAAGGGAATTGAATAGTTTTTCACAATTATTATAGCATATGAATCGCGTTTTTGTGCTATATTATTAATTCAAGCAAGCCATCACATTGTGCTGTGATAATGCACAAAAGATGCAGCGAGAGACGAAGGAATATGATTCTTCAGGTAAATTGTGATCTAGAAGTATTGTAGTCACTCTAATCACTCACATAGTTCTCATTGACATTTCTGCAATAGAAGCTCATAGATTGAGAATGTAACACACAGGAACATATTTCGTAAGAATTGCAAACTAGTCTTCCCGTTTGATTGCAGGAATCCAAAGTCCTTGCCTCATTTTATTAACTCCACAAGTCTTTTTATCAGCTCTTTTTGTAGAAGGGATTCAAAGGAGAAACGACAAAATTTCAAATTGAAAACTATGCAAGTGACTACAGTAGCAATTATTCACCTACCTGAAGATATAATATCTTATTCCTTCGTCTGTCGCTGCATTTTTTGCGCAATGTACGACAGCACAATGTAATAGCATGCTTGAATAATTAAATATCCAAAGAAATACAACTTATATGCCAAAATGATTGTGAGAATCTCTTTCGATCCTTTGTTTATGTTTCTAGATTGGCCAATTCAAGTAAAATTGAATTAGTGCATTTTGGTTGCAAAAAAACTGAAACGTCACTGTCATTCATGGTCGTTATAGGAATTTTCTTTCGTGCGCTCCGAGAGAGAAAAAAAGTCACTGAATAGCTGAAAATCTGAAGGGTATCTCCCATACAGTGATGAATTTGCGCCTTCGAAGTGCCCAACTGATGTTTGCTTAGATATATTAAATTGAATTGAACACCATACCATATCAGTGTATGTGTGAATATCGCTCCAAAAGTCCTCGTTATAAGGTGATGTGCACGGATTCTTGAATAACTCATAGTTGCGAGCACTTGAAAATTTCGCCATCAGCAGTTGATGCGAGTTACCTCGTCACAAGGCTATGTCTGCAAATATCTCAAACAGCTGGTAGTCGCGAGCACTTGAAGAAATCCGGTAGCAATTGATGCGAATATCCCAGAATATCCCAATGTCCTCGTCACGAGGCTATGTTCGCGAATATATCAAACACTTCGTGAACGCGAGAACTTTAGCTAGTGGCGATTGATGCAAATATCCCAAAGAGCTCGCCTGGGGGCATTGTATGAGAATTTCTGCTGAGCTCAACCTAGGCGGCGGATATTGGGACGAGATATAGCGCTCCCGGCGATCTTTTGAAGAAGTTACAAAAAGCATTACTATACTTGAAGGATATCTTCGAGACATCTCTAGTACCTCTTTGTGCTGCCTGGGTCATCTACCACTATTTCATCTCTCATATCGTTATCGATGGAAATTTTTCACAAGAGATTAGAAGGTGAGATTTGTTGATCTGTCGTAGGATACACGTCGGAAAGTAGTCACTTTGAAGATAGGTATTTATTATACAAGGGAAAAAGTATCAGATATTAGACAAACATTCATTGAAAGTGAGGTTTTATAACCTGTCAACAGAGATGAGATGACAAACTTTATTCCCGTCACAATGCGATAGTTTGTTAGCTATCAT